TTCAGCAACAATAGCTGTTCAAATCCCAAACTCTCAAAGACAGACTAATGAGAAAAACAAACTATAAACACTTATATTCCTTTCATATTTATCTTCTTCCAGCAGTTGTAGGTTTCAATAAAGTATTAGACATTTGCTGTTATGATGTGCTTCTCCACTCCCAAAACTGGAGGCTGCACACTGTAAATTCTTTTGGCTGCACTGAAACCAAAATTTCACCATGGATCAGGTTCTTGGCATTTATGAGTAGTTCCTCTCTTGGTTCTGATACTTTCAAAATTCTCCATACTGATAAACATTTAGGAAATGATGGAAAAAATTCCTGAAATAGTTCTTCCTAATATGTTGTTCTTTACCAACATTATTTTTGAAACTCTTGACAGTGAGCCCAAGCCCCTATGCTTTGAGTTTTGTAATCCTAATAGGATGCATGCACTCAAGAGGAGTTTCAAATATTTTAAGCATACAATGTCCTACTAGGGGCCCATCCCATCATCTTAGACACTTTAGACAGTTATTTACCCTTCTTACTCTATAACCACAAGTCCCACAGCTAACTTGATTAAGGATGAAAAAACAAGGAGAAACGCACACACTCACTCACAGCTCCTCCTCTGATGGGTAAGAACATCTACCACACGTTGCTCTATGTTTACTTGGTGGCAGCATAACAGTTAAGCCTGGAACTCGTCTCCCCCAAATGATTAGGAGGTGTAGTATCCAGAGTGCTCAGTTTCAATTTAATAATTTTGATGTAATCACCCTTTGAGTCCTGGAAGCATTCTCAGAAATTATGTGGTTACTTATGAGTCTCTTTCTGGACTTACTGCTCCTAGCAAATTACAGTCCGCTTTTAATCTAATTTGTGAAGCTCCTGTAAATGCAAGGGTCTATCAACCCAGGTGACATCAGTAGGAACTTACAGAATTTGGACTCCAGTTGTAATCCCTTTTCCAACCTGGCTGTAGGATACTCAAGTTTCCATACAGTATACAAATAGTTAATAGCTGAAGATAGCTGAAGATATACAATTTCAAAGGCTAACAGATCAGATAATAGGGAATGCAGATCTTCTGGACAAAGTTCAGACTTATAGCATTTAGAGGCATTTTTCAACTCTAAACAACCATTAGTACGATGGAGTACTAAAAGCACTTACTGCCATTTTACCAATTCAGATGTCTGTGGCAACATAAAGTATTTTTACAGCATTGCTGAAGCTCACTCTCACACGAGGGTCACACCAGGTCCCTGCTTCTTGGGTGAAATGCTGTAGAACCACTACAGGAATCACTCTCTGAGGATTCCTAGGATCCCCACACTTCTATATGAAGCCTTCTAAGGGGGAACTGGGTTTTCCCAACTTGTTCTCTGGGGGAGAGACAGAGTAAAATAACAACCACAGCCAGCCTTCAGTGAAGTGATTTATTTTAAAAATATAACTTCTGGGTAGGCTTTTATTTGACTAGCATTATCAAACTAAAGTTTTAATTTTATATCCCATCTCTTTCAACTGCAAGGCTTTTTAACCTTGCCCAAGCTTTCCTTTTCCTGGGGCTGGCAAGAAACAAAACAGAAATGTTATTTCATCACCCAGGGTAGTAGGATATGGCACCATGAAATCTCCAGTGCCAGAGGGTAAAAGATTTTGTACTGAACAAATTAACATCGGTGAGTCATATCTTGAATGTCCTGTTAGAAGAATCATCCATCAAACATTTTAATAGCTATAGCTTTCACTTTCCACCAAGTTATCTGGAAAGCAAGCAGGTATTAAATTCTTTTAAAATATAAATTCAACAGGATGCTCCAGGAAACAAACAAGATAACTTAACTCCATATCCCCAGTGAAAATTACTTAAAACCAGTACTGATTAAGTCTATTCATACCTTTCCATAGAAAAGACTGAAATATTCTCTTTACCCATTCAACTGCTCTCGGCTCTAAATTTTAAGTTTTCCAACAAATTTCACTGCACACATTGCCAAGCCCAGGATCAAATATTTGTTTTCACACTTCTCCATCAGGTGGAAAAAAAGATTTTAATAGCTGAAAAAAATTAAATAATATAAAATCCAATTAAAAAGTTGATCAATAAACGCTTGGCATTTGTTTTATCCAGGGGAAAAAATAATTTTTAAAAAGTATTTCAAAAGATTTTTCAACCAGCTTTCCAAAGATGCGTTATGGGTTTTTCCTTTACATGAAGAACTCTTTTTTTTTTTTTTTTTTCAATCTGTATAGACACCATGCTTAATATGGTTTTTAATCACATAAGAAAAACACTTCAGTGGCCCATCAATCCCATATTTTAAAATGACTATTTGAGCTTTTTTCTGGGGAAAAGTATGTGCCACCTTTACACCAACCTGGATGCATGCTAGTTATATATCATTTCTTTTCCAATGCATTTTCAAGTTGGTTTATCACATTATTAGCAAGCTCATCAAAGTACAATAAAACAACACTGACCAGAATGAGAAAAGGGGGAAGTTCATGAATTCCATAATGTTGGGTATTTTCAATTTTAAGAAGCCCAAATATATTTTCGTAACTACTTAAAGATCAAATTGCCCACATGTGAAAAAATACGTCTTAAAACAAAAGGCCAGTCTACACAATAGGTAATTTCTGAGTTATCCAAATCCCTACATTAACTCCACTAGGATGAATCCAGTGGCTGGGAGAATAATTTTTTGAAAATTCTGCATCCGTTCCTGTTAGTTCCAAAAGGTATCAAGCGCCCCAGCTACGCGTTTGGGATTTCACCAAGTATTCAAAGGAAAATAACTCAGAGAGGCGGGAAGAACGCACTTAAAAGTGACGAGCTTCCTAACCTCCTCCAGTTCCGAAGTTTCCTCGTGAGCTCATCGCTACTGCCCACTAAATGCTTCGTTTGCAAATAGAAAGGAGTAGGAAAAAAATAAGTTCCAGCCTAGATCTGCCAAAGAGGGGTCCCCCATCTAAAGTGGGCGGGCAAGAGAATTGCCAAAACAGATCGGCTACAGTCACTTTCAAGTTTCTTGCAAAAAAGCGAAGACCAACATCCCAGAGAGTGACTCATCTGGGGGCTTTGTAAGCGGACTTTGTTTGCTCTCTCCACTTGGAGGAAACGTTCGAGGTGGGCCGAGAAAGAAAAGCGCTTCGGGAGAAGGTCGGGCCTCCAAGAGTCCCGGCCCCCACCGCTCCCCCCGCCCTGGGCCGGCCCGGCTGGGGGATTCCCCGGGCTCAATGGGACGGCGGGAGAGCTGGACAGAGGGAGAAGGTGTCAGCTGCCAAGGCTCGGCTGAGGCTTGGGAAAGAAAAAATGTAAATCCAGTGAAAAAGTTTGGGGAGGGGATACACACTCACAACATCCGCCCCCCCCAACTGGGTAAACACGAGAGGGGTGGTGGCGGTGAGGGGGAGTGGCGGGGAACATAGGGATACCCGCTATTCGCGGGGACACGAGAGGGGGTCAGAAAGTCAACACAGGCACGCACACACACAAAAAGAAGAGGGAGGTGAAAAGAGAACAAGCGAAAGATGGATGAAGTGGCGGGAGGGGACTCAGAGCAGGACCTGGCGACCTCCTCACCCCACCGTGCCGGACCGGGCCGGCACGCAGTGGCCCAGCAGCCCGCGCTATCCAGCGGCCCGGCGCCCTCCTTTCTCTGGGCCGCGGGGTGGTGACAGCGACCGGCCTCCTCCCTTCCCCTTCAGGGCGGGAGGGAAGGGTGTGTGTGAGTGTGTGTGTGTGCGTGTGTGTGCTGGGGGGCCCCCGGGTTCACCCCGAGGCCTGCTCTCTCCCCCGCACCCCGTGAGGCCGCCTCCTTTCACCTCAGCAGCCCCGCTC